ACCCTGGCTATTTTGAAATATTATCACATGCTGAACTAATTACGATGTAGTCACACTGCCAAATGTGCTACACACAAGAATTAGGCAGGTACACAATCCCTGACATCACTGTCAAAAAAAAAAGAAGGCTTAGGCCTTGCTCATACCGATTCTTTGTGTGTCCGTGTTTTCATTATTTCTTCTTTATAACGTCCATTTTACAACACAAGCCATTGCAGGGACTGAACTGGTTCCTGTTGCTTACTGACTGTGCTGTGTGTTATACCATGAGAGCTACCAAAACCTGCAAAGAAGCATAAACAAAGAAGGTTTTATTCAGTCTTTATCTGCATGGAAATCCCACAGACCGACCTACAATGATTTGCTAAAAGACATTAGTTCATGTAAGGATGCAGTAACGAACAATATTGTTCGCTATCTGCACTGTGGAGTGTGGAATTTGTGACACAGTGAAAACATCTGAGTTTACAACAGCTAAAGCACAGTTACAGCATTTAAATTCCCAGCATGCTTCACACTGTATCGACACAACTGCTTTTCACTGCGCTCAAAGCAGTCTCCTTTCTGTCTTCTGTTTTCACCACAGCAGCCAAAACCTACAGGCACAATAGTTTAACCCACTCACACTAACAGAATGCATGGGTTGGGGTACAGTATAATTGGGAGCTATCACACTGAAACACAGATAATAGATGCGGAGCAGCAAAAGGTGCGGACTGGTACACTGCATTTTGGATGGCAGTCTGCAGAAGACAGAGAACTCCAGCAAACATCTTGGGAATATGGGGCCACACCCCCACCCTCCCCCCCTTTCCACCTTCGCCACAACAGCCCAAACCCACAGCCACTTGTGGTTAACCCACATGACCTGGTTATGGCCAGCAGAATCATGCTTATTTATCCAGCCAGCCAGCCAGCCATTAAGGGAATGTACAATGTCAAGATCCTTTATCCATTTGGGTGTGCCTGACAACATAGGTGGACTACTTTGCGAGGCCTTGTCTGATCCATTCATTCATGTACCACTATGATGAAAAAATGTTTCATGTATATTGAATGAGGATATAAATAGTGCACACCGCTGTATGAGAAAAAAAAGAGAGAAAGATATATTTGGCTGAACAGTTAGCACGGCTAATGTGAGTGCACACTCTGCTGTGTAGCCAGTAAATATGTGTATATGTGTGAGTTGATTAAGCAAGTAAGCTCCTGTAAATCCTGTAGCTGCTCCACTACACATGGCTATGCATTAATTATTAGTGCATGCTGCAGTGACTGATTCAGTCTTAAGAGTAAAATTTATCAGTCACAATCACTGCACACACTTCATATGCATAATACAGAGAGATGCCACCTATATTCCTAGGCAATGCAGTGCATGTGCAGTCACCCTAATTAACATAGACATGACTAAGTTTAAAACATGAGTAGAAAACAGTCAGTGGGGTTCTGTACACATAATGCATCTCAGTTACAGGTGGTATCTACTGGCCTGTCTGTGGTCCACTGGCAGGTTCTTGACCATGGTCAGTAAACAACTGGGGCACAAACACAGCACTAATACACATCAGCATTAACATCACTAGTCCCTCTGCCATGCTCTCTCTCTCTCTCACACACACACACACACACATACACACGCGCACACGCACACACACACTCGCACGAGCACACGCACACAGCACATGCATTATCAACAAATTGACCACTGCATGTGATGCAAAGCAGCAGCATGCAGTTGCTCTGCTTACATCACCAGCGAGCGGGCACTGCAACGACTCTTTCTTCTTTCTTCCTGCGAAATGTTATTGATACACATGCAGAGGGGGAGACCGGCCAAAGCTTGCTGCACAGCCTCGTATACGGTCTACCACGGCGGAACACAGTCCACCTATACGACGGAGGGAGTCGTGTTCAGCAGCACATACATGTTCACAATCAGAATGGATGCCTGTGCAGTGCTCTCTCTCTCCAGACGCTGCACATCTTAAAAGAAAAGATGATATGGAATGGCGAATCATGGCATTTCGCACCGGCTCTCCCTTCCTTCTCCTCGCTGGAATGTGAGTGCGCGTCGTGCACTCTGTTAACATTAATTCACCGGGACATAATTTTGCCATAACGCAGGAGTAAGATGATAATTAACGCACAAAGGAAAGAAAAAATGGGAGGGAGAGCACAAACGTGGCCAGCAGGGATAGCTCCAAATGCAGAGTATAAGCATCCATTTTTCCTTCTCCTTACCTATAATATCCAGCGATGCGTGCTCCCACTCTCACTCTCCCTTTCCTTTCTCTCCCTCTGTTTTGTCGTTTTATGTTGCGCGCTGACACGCACACCTCAGAGCCCAGGCGTCTGTCAACAGAGGCTTGTGCTGGCTCATATTGCAACGGGCTCCGATCATAACAATAATGCAGAAGAAATCTCTTTCTATTCGTTGCAGGAAAAAAACAGGGGTGCCAACTGAAGACTGTACAAATTGATGCGTACCCTCGCCTCTTCCCCCCCCCCTTTCGCCCCCCTTTTTCTTTTTTTTTTTTTGCCCCCCCCACCCCCCTCTCCCACCCTACCTACTCCCCCTCTTCCTCTAAGACGACTTGCACTTTTTTTTTTATACCCCTCTCCGGTCTTACAGTCACAATTTTTAGCGGAGGGGTGAGCCGGAGAGAGGGATGCACGTCGGGTGAGAGAAAGGGAGAGAGGAGAGGGCGTGATTTGCATAAGGAGAGAGAGAGAGGGAGGCTAGAGGAGGAGGAGGAGGAGGAGGAGGAGGAGAAGGAGGGAGTACTGAGGCAGGGAGAAGGAGGAAGAGAGGCGCAGAGAGAGGGCCAAAACTCTGAAGAGGGAGGGGATCAAGAGGGAGGGTCTCTCTCTCTGTCTCTGTTGCCTAGTCCCTCCAGAGTCACCTTTACTGTATGGAAAGCTCTGCTTTAGACTGAATAACTAGCTGCTCGGTTTTATCTCGCGATGAACTCTGAAGAGGCAGAAATGTCCAATAGGTCTTTGTTCTTAAAGGCTTTGACACAAGCTGATAAAGGTGGACTAAAGAGAAAACACACACACATTTAATTATATGAGCATTTCAATGACGATGTCAGCGACCTAACAAAGGAAGCTCCACTCGTTTGGAGTAATGGAACAATTAACAAACGAACAATTAAACCGTGCCCTCTGTTTTATGTGTCTGTCCAGCAGCTCCCTGTCTGTCTGTCTGTCTGTCTGTCTGTCTGACTGATTGTCTGCCTGCCTGTCTGTCTGATGGTCTGACTGTCTGACTGGGAAAAGCTTGCAGCGGTGTGTCCAGTCAAGCGGCTCTGCAGACCTCCTCCTCCTCCCCTCTCCTCCCCTCCGCTCCTGTCGTTCTCTCTCTCTTGCTCTCTCTCTCTCCCCTTCACGCAGCCCCCTGTCCCGTCTCCTATTGTGTGGTAACCATGGCAACCCGGCCGGAGACTGTGCCCCGTGCGCCTGCGCGGCTCCAACCTTCCTTCATCATCATCCTCCTCATCATCACCAGCAGCAGCGGCCCCGGCACAGACAGGAACTCACCCTCCGAAGCCCTCGTCGTCGCGCTCGCGCTCCCTCTGCTGCACGGTTTGTGTAAAACTATGAGCGCGTGCAGCTGCTAATGGATCTGCAGAAGCCGCGCGGCAACGCTTCTGCGTTGTTTACAGGGCTAGGTGTGTATGGCGAGTGGATAGTGCCAATTCAAGGTTTACCAATAAAAATGCATTTCAACTAACACATTAAAATGTCTATGATTCATCGTTTAATTTGCCACATTAGCATATTCACATTTTCCAATACTACCACTGATTAGTATTAATTACATTACTGATTTCATCAATGTATTTATTAATCTTCTTTTCTCATTTTATGTCCTCATTAGACTATGCTTGGTAGTTGAGTTAACCTCATTTTATTTAAACTTTACATACTTTGTTTACTCACTGTTGTGGGGAAGAAAATACTGCCAGTTTTATACTGCATAATGTTCTTGTTGTTTAGTCTAAATGTTGAATATTTTGTTTATATTACTTATAAATTGTACATTTAGTTTTTCCTGTTCTCTGTTGTGCTTTTTTTGTCTTGTGATGCTTTTCTTTGTCACTTTACTTTTCAGTGTAAGTAAAAATCCTTGAATCCTGTTATGTGTTCCTGTAAATCAGTTTGTATACACGTATTGTTTCTTAGTGTATGGATTAAGCAGAAATGATCATGATCATGATAATAATGAGGACAATGATGATAATAGCATCTACACTGCTCAATCAGTAATTTCAAGGCAGGTGCTCTGTGTTTGTCAGCTGATTATAGAGTCTGCATTTTGGGCTGTGATTTTAATGGACAACCACCGACACCACAGATTGCTCCTTGCTGATAATATAGACATACTATAATACTCCTGTGGTATATCAATTAGTAAAATCTAACTGATACAAAAATCATTACATTTGATGAAATATATGTTTGGAGGCCATGCATGATTGCTATTGCTCCTTTTAATCTGCAGCATGCTTGAATTGTAAAAGCAAATTCCTGAAGGATGAATTCCTTCTGAATGAATGTGGGAAGTTCAAACCACCTCTGCAGGATTCCTCTTCAATTCCTGCAGGATTTGTGCTGAATTCTTGTTGGATTCTTTTCCAAAGGATTCTCTTCGGGGTTAAAGTTATGCAGAAAATGATCACTTTAAATCCTGTAGGATAATATAAATTCAGAATTGTAACCGCAGAAAGGACGTTGAGTTTGTTCTGCAGGATTCCTGTAGGACGTTTTTGTGAGCGATGTCCAACACCTGCTGTGACATCAATATTTAGTGTGTGGCCAGAAGTACAACATTGCCGAGTGCGTCCTCTTTTTAGAGAGTACTGCGTACTTCTGCACTGCACAAGTGCTTCTCTGCTTTTCATCCACATTTGATTTAGTCATAATTTACCTTACCTCTTAAACAAGAGAAGAGATAAATGATAGTACAAATGCACAAAGAGCTTTGGTTGGACTTGACATGTATCCTTGTCTTTATTGAGCTTAACCTTAGACGGACAAAGTAACAGACACAATTGTGTAGCAAGCTGCTTCGTGTTCACATCAGAAACAACATGAGGAACAGGAGGAAGAGGAAACAACAGGGCACAGAAGATCAAAACATATCTGCAGTGAGCCGTGATGAGACGCTCAGAGGGACCAGGAAAGAGAAAGAAACTAACAAGTGCAATAAGGGAAGTGTGAGTCTGTGCTGAAAGGTGAAACACAGAATTTTTTCCACCAGGTGTTCAGGGTTTGCTGCAACCGGTTGTAGTCAATAAAGTCAATCACTTGCTGAAGCGTCAGGTCAATATACTGTAACTACACTGCATTATCTATGTGTTTAAGTTACTTGAAAACTAATTAGTCTTAAATGTGTCTTAGTGTGTTTAAAGCTTTGTTGAAACGGATGAGTCATTATCTCATTACTATGTACCTGTGATGGAAATATAACATGGTTTGTTTGCATTCTGCTTTCTTGTGTGTCACTGCCTTCAGCACTGGCACTCAAAGGGCACTGGGGTTACGGAAGTTGTGCCCAGCATAGCGGGCCTGGTCACCCAACTCTTCCTCGATCCTGAGAGGAAGAGGAGGTGATGAAGAAAATGGAGAGGGAATGTAGAGCAGGCAGATGAATGTGAAATATGACAGCAGCAGGTAAAAGAATGAAGGAAAAAGAAGAGAAATGCAGACAAATAAGTGCAAGAGTGCTATATGTGATATCAAAGTCTTTCTATATATATGTACACACACATATACAATAAAAGGTATAAAGTCCCACCTCATGAGCTGGTTGTATTTGGCCAGACGTTCTGACCGACAGGGAGCTCCGGTCTTGATCTGAAGGGAAACAAAAATGCCAAAAATCACAGAGGGATACAGACACAGCTGCAAACATTGGCACTAATACTTGGTATTTGGTACAGCAAATTAGGCAACAGTTATTTTGACTATGAAGTGATCTTTTGATAGTGCTTTTGGCAAACTGCTTTGTCCGTAAAATGTCAAAAATAATGGCGACTACCCCCAAGTTTTATGATTTCTTACCCTGATTACAGCAGGCATCAAACCAAAAGTGAAGCATGATTCTCAAAGAAGTTGTTATCTGCAAACTTTTGTTATGTTTTTCTTGATATTCAGTCAAGAATAGAACTGATTTTTGGTGTTTGTGGACTCTTTAATTAACTTTTTATTTCAGGACTTCAAACATCTCAGTAATTACAATAAACAGTACATTGTTATTTAGTAATGTTTCTTATATTGCTGACATTGTTTGCCTTCCAATTCTGATAATTATATTACCTTACACTTAAGCTGCTATTGCACTGTTACACAATGAATTATTATTGTTATTGGCTTGTTTCCAAACTACTATTGCACTGTGATGTTGCTGTATTTGTATTGTCTCATTTATGCGCTGGAAGATTTATGTAAGGTGCGATGACATAGACGTAGAGTAGTGTTGTGCGTACATTAGTGGGCGTGTGTGTTACCTGTCCAGTGCAGAGACCAACCACCAGGTCAGCTATAAAAGTGTCCTCTGTTTCTCCTGAGCGGTGGCTCACCATCACGCCCCAGCCGTTCTCCTGGGCCAGCTTACACCTGACAGATGAGAAGGCAGGCGCAGTGTATTATTAGTTTAAATATGATGCAAGCTCACGTGCATTAACGCGTGACCACATTTCATGCATCAAAGACACAATTACAACTCACGCCTTGATGGCCTCTGTGACAGAGCCAATCTGGTTGACTTTAAGCAGCAGGCAGTTGCAGGACTTTTCCTCCACGGCTCGTTGAATCCTGCGCGGGTTAGTGACTGTAAGATCGTCTCCAACCACCTGCAAATGTAAACCACACAGTTATGGACAGATTTAGGTGAATTTTGTTACGTGCAGGAACAGTACTATTTCTATTCGGCGCAGGAGGTAAGCCAATAAAATAAAAGGGGGACTCCACCAATTTTACACATGAAGCACCGCCTGCATTACAAACCCAGGGCATGACATGGCTGCTCACCAGGCCATGAGAGTCAATATGCTATTGATTTTCATTACGGACATTGCAGAATCCACCATTTTGAAGCCATTCTAGTAACTTCAAATCATGATATCTCAATTTCTGCAGCATTGATTTTGACCATTTTCAAGGACGTACAATAGCCTACTCAACTGCTCGAGTGCCACTTTAAAGAGCTGAACTAATCCACTACCAGATAACAAAGACAAAATATTTACAATAATAATTTACCTGGATGCCCACTGAGCCTGTGAACTGTGACCAAGCAGGCCAGTCGTCCTGGTCGAAAGGATCTTCAATGGACACGACTGAAGGAGAGGGGGATAGGTGACATCACTCTTGTGCATACATGAAAAATTATGGTTTACTTTTAGAACCCCTTCATTTTTTCCCCCCATCACTCACCCACAAGCCAAAAGGACTAGAGCACCAGTGCCTTTTCTAATAAAGGTACTAATGGGAGTAATGTATTTAAATGAACTCACATTACACACTGACGCACACACGCACTTGTCCACACAAGCAGGAAGCACACCATTGACAGGGTAAAGAGCCACATCAGAGCAGGTCCCTGTTTGCCAAATGTGCACTGTAGCGCATAATTAAAACCTCTTAAACAGACCCAAGTGTCAGGGGGAGAGAGCAAGCTGTGGAGACCTCCAGCTTTCTTTTCCTCTGTCTCGCCACCTCTTTCTCTATCTCAGAGGTGATGAAACAAATATGGAAGATGTAGAAATATAAAAAAAAAAAAAAAATAGGCCAGTGTGTCCATTTACGGATAGAAGCTATTAACACCGACACCATTTTTCCATGAACCTTGTGGCTCAGTGATCTGTTGAAATCAATAAACTCTGATTATTGCTATGGTCCGTCCACATCAAGTTCTCCAGGTAACCATAAAAACTAAGCATTTCTGACATGTTCTGAGATCACACACACACACACACACACACACACATGCACACACACACGCACACACACACACACACACACACACACACACACACACACCTGGATAAGAGTTAATGAAGCCCTGGTAGATGCTGGCCAGCTCCTCAGCACTGATGTTGCGGGCAGCGTTGGGTGGAGACTTGAAGTCCAGGTCGTACTTGCCCTCAATGAAAAACTCTGAAGCAGCAACATCCATCCCTATGACCACTTTGTCAGTGAAGCCCGCCTTCTCTATGGCCGTCTTTATCAGCTCCAGGGCTGACGGAGAGACACAGGAATAAGTACGATAACACTTCAGGCCTAAGAAGACAAAAAAATGTAAAGTGGTTGTGCTTACCTTCACTGTTCTCCTGTATGTTTGGGGCAAACCCTCCCTCATCTCCCACATTTGTAGCATCCTGACCGTACTTCTCCTTGATGACACCTCTCAGTGTCTGGTAAAGCTCAGCCCCCACACGCAAAGCATCACGGAAAGACTCCGCCCCGACAGGAAGTACCATGAACTCCTGCATAGCCAGTCTGTTACCAGCATGGGAGCCCCCGTTGATCACATTAAATGCCTGGGTGTGCGGCAGATAAGGGAGGAAAATGTATTTGGGGTTTTATATTTGGAAGAATTACATTTGAGCACAATACAAAAATAAATAAATACATGACTCACAGGAACTGGTAGGACCAGCTCTGCGTTTCCTGCAAGATCAGCAATGTGACGGTACAAGGGGACACCTTTCTCTGCTGCGCCAGCTTTGCATATGGCAAGTGATACTCCCAGAATAGAATTGGCCCCAAACTTAGCTGAAGGAAACATATATGGAGTCACACAGCACATGGATGCACTCGGTAATCACTGGAGCGGAAACATGTCATGACACATATATGCCATCACCGTACATGAGAAGTGAACGAGGCTTACATTTGTTGTCAGTGCCGTCCATTTCAATCATCATGTTGTCCAGTTTCTCCTGCTCCAACACACTGATTCCCTGAAACAAATAGACCAGATGTCATCATTTTAATCATGCTCTTCCTCCCAGTCTCCTCTACATTTGAACTATTTTTGTACTCCTACTACTTACCGACTGGACAAGGGCGGGCCCAAGGGTGTCATTAATGTGACCTACAGCCTTGGTTACACCTGAGACAGCAGGACGGAAGGAGATAGAGCATGTGAAGCTCGTCAGTCAGCCCACTTTCATGTCACAAAACCACAAAAGAGAGAATGCAGAAGAAGAAACAGATGGTGGCAGGCAAAAAAAAAAAAAAAAAAAAAGAACACAAGGAGGATACATTCAAGAGGTCACCTTTGCCCTTGTAGCGAGTCTTGTCTCCATCTCGGAGCTCCAGAGCCTCGTAGATGCCGGTGGACGCACCGCTGGGCACAGCAGCCCTGAACAGACCTGGGAGACAGAGGAATGGCGGATGGAGGGAGAGGTACATGTTTAGGGGTGAAAGGTTAAGGAGGAGGCCAGAGGGGCAGAAAAAGGAAAATGTTGTGTGAAAACAACCTTGTGATTATTTGAGGTTTAGATTTAGACAATGTTCACTGTCAAACCTTTAACAAGTTGACGGATATGTGACTAATGCTTTTTGAATGTGTTTATTTTTTTTAACCTTTGTCTGTATGCAGATCTACTTCCACAGTAGGGTTTCCTCTGGAGTCCAGGATCTCCCTGGCAACAATATTCACTATCGACATCCTGTAAAAAAAAAAAAAAAAAAAAGAAAAAAAAGAAAATAAGAAAGAAAACAAAAAAAAGGGACATTTACCACACTTAGCCATTTGTACAGCATTACGCTCATGTATAAAATTCTACACTCATTCTCATTTTGATTAGAGAAGAATGAGCATGAGCAAGCAAAGGGGGGGGGGTACAAAGAGAAAGATGCATATTAAAATGAGTCCTAACATATAAAAAGCAAACGTTGAAAATACATTTCATTACAGCTAACGACAACACTGAAGTGCCTCAATTTCACATTAGTCACTTCATACTCGCTTCCTCTTCCTCCACTTGCACACACTGTGATGGTAGTGACGCAGCCTTAGGGATGGAAAGCTGTGGAAAAGATGCTCCCTGGGAACATGCTGGCACGCACACCCACACCAATACCCACACACACACACCCACACCCACATATATACACAGAGACGGAAACATAAATCAAAAGCTAATAATGCATACCTATTTATGAATCTACTGTCAACCTGTTCCGGACCACAACCCAGTTCAATTTCTCTGCTGTTTCAGTCAGTGACTGAGAATATGGACCAATGAAGAGATGAGATGGTGAGGAAACACAGAGCAGGGAGAGATGTGGAGAAGGGGGAGGAAGAGGAGGGGGAGGAGGTGGAGGAGGGAGGCTTGGAATGATGGAGGGAATAAAGAAATAGATCAATCTTTTTAAACGTTACCTGCAGCGTGGTTGAAGCCTGGTGGAGAAAGTGAGCGAATGTGGGCGAATGAGAGGGAGAGGTAGATGGACGGGGGAAGGTGGGAGGAGAAGGGGTGAAAACGTATGACACGCAAGGGGGGAGGGGAAGCGCGTGAGTCACTGGAAGATGCAGAGAGGAGGGGAGGGAACGAAACTGGAAAAAAAAGGAGGCAAGGGCGACAAAGCAGAATAGCAAGGGTTACATTTACTTATTTTGTTTTAGAGAAGATACAGGGAAATAAAATCTGCTGAGCAAGATGTAATGTGATTTGCACTGTAACCTTTCTCAGTTTCAACCTATGTATTAAACATTGTTTTCCTGACTCCCTACCAGCCCTTTGATTTGTTTGGTTCTGCTTGCTGTGTGAACATCTGCTCATCTGCTGTCTAAGTACAGTAGCACTCTTGACATGTGAGCAAATATTGTCCCAGCAAACTGCTAACATGAAGAGGTAATTTGTGGTTGCTCTCAAAATCCAGGCAGTACTGTTATGCTACTGAAAAGTAAGGGGTTTGTTGTTAAAATGGAAACAAACATCCGTGCACTTTAGATGTGGATGACAGGCAGAAGATATCAAAACAAAGCAACAATGAGGAGGATACGTCTCAGCAAAGACAGACGCACACAACAAGCTGCCTCGTCTGGGAACTTTAGAGATCTAATGATGGGGATTAAAGCAGACAAGAAGACAGGTAGACAGGTGTGAGGAGCAGTACATGCTGGAGGGGAAGGGGGGGGGGTGCATTTAAAAATAGTCGTGGATGTAATTAAAGAAGCAGCGAGCACAGAAGGAGGCAGGCAGGAAGGCAGGGAGCCTGCTATGGGAGCGATTTGTCAAAAGAGAATGGGTTTTCATTGGCTCCACTGGTGTGCTCCATCTGTGTGTCACATGACCTACAGACATGGTGGCACAGGGAACAGGGAAATGTACAAATGCACATATATTGGGGGGGGGGTTAAATGCATGGCTGATTTGTCTGTTCAAATAAACTACAGCATCACAGTCACAGATTTATACACTCCAAAGAACTGAGAAAGGTCAACACATTTTATGAGGGAGCAAGGCGTAAAAAGGAAGCATAGATTTACAGATTTAGCTGCATATATTCATGGCTTTGAAGCTGTATTTTGTGTGAATCAATTAAAAAAAAAAAAAAAAAAAAAACACTCCATAATATAAGACATGCAACCTCAAACACAACCACAGCAGAGACACATTTGCAATTATCTAACAATGTTTAATGAACTTTTATTTAGTTAGATTAATTAGTTAACAGTATACAATTCAATTCACCGACACACTAGTGTCTTCACAAACATAAAATGGACTGTACAGCAGATGTACTGTATACTGTAGCACTTTAGTGCAGTGGGCAAAAACACGTCAAGTTTTGAGAATGAGTATATATAAAGTGAGTGTAGTTATACCCATGTTTGCACAAGGGTTCCACTTTGTGTGTGTGTGTGTGTGTGTGTGTGTGTGTGTGTGTGTGTGTGTGTATGTAACAGTAGAGAAGTTGAACTGTAAATGTAACTATCAAGTGTGTGGGGTTTTGTTGTGTGTATATGTGTGTAATATGTTGTTTATGTATAGACAGTCCAGTCATATCAAACATTTACGACGGGCAGTTGTGACGATCATCAACTTCCGTCTTCAGCGTGGTTCACAGCATCGGGGGAAATGTTCCCTCAACTCCTTCCATCTGGTCGCCTCGTCAAGTGTGACACCTGCAGGAGCAGCCGACCAAAGCCACAGCGTTTATTACAACTAATCACAAAAGACAGACAGGCAGATGGAATCAACAGAGCTTTCATCGAACAACTGAGGATTCTGGTTTAGCCCAACACGAACCATGGCTGTTAATTCAAATCAGTGGTCCTACATGACATGTCAAACAATTTCCAATTTAGAGATTTGGTGACAGGATCAAATATTTAGGGACAATTTATCACAGCTGTTAAAAACCTTATCTGCAGGTTTTTGCCGCGCTGGGGCAGTAGAGATGGATGTCATGAGGCGATGACCTGCATATTTTCTTCTCTTGCTTTTACATCGTAGTGATATTATTCACCAGACATTCGCCATACATACTGACACTGATACCGCTCAATGAGATGCAGTTTTTTTAGACCTTTATCACACAATGTAACATGCAATAAACCTGCAAGATCACTGTTTTCATGCAGAGACCCTGGTGTCACTTCATGTGCTTGTTTTCAGGGTAAAAACTGACAAATAAAATGGAACCTGTAGCATTATCAATATTTGCCATTTCTGCCTGTATATTCTATATACCAACACAATATATATATGATTAAGCTCAACTCGTCCTTTAATACCTCTCTTACCTTCTCACCAGTCGTAACGGGGGCGGGTTTGGGGCTGACGGTGTCTGGGGGACTCATGCCGATAACCTGGTGGGGGTGTTGAGCTAGGAGGGGCAGTAAGAGCCAGTTGCTGACCTCCTGCCCGTCGATCTCGGCCGTATTCCAGCCCCCGGGCGTTCGGGGGAACGTATCTTCCAGCCTCCCTCCTCCACTCCTCATCAAACGCTGCAGCCTCAGCTAGCAGGGATGGAGGGGAGGGTGGTAAGTAACACATAAAAAAAGATATCTCAGGTAATCGCGGCATTATTCACCTTTAATAAATAACATTACTTTTGTTTCTTGTTAAGCTGGAGGATTTCTTGTACTTCCTTTGTGTTAAACTCCAAGAATAAGAAATGTAATTCTCGTTGAAATTCAAACTTTAGCTACAAACAGCTGAAACAATCATAAAAATGATCTTTTCTACCCCAGTGACTCACTCTCATCAAGATTAATGAAGTCTTGCCGTTCTTCACGATCTCCTGTGCGGCGATTTCGTGAACGCTCCATTATGTGTGCACGAGCCCCGATGTGGTGGCCGATGGCGAGACGCTCAAAGCCGCTCTCGCTGTCCCTCATTGACTGCCGCGTCTCACGGATCTGAGGTGAAAAGTGACAGGCAACTCAGTTTACTAAAACAAGCAGGATGCTCTGCACTCTGCATGAACTCCGTCTGAAATGTTTGTATGACAACTATGATATTTATACTGTACATGATGTGTTTATTGTCACTACAAGTACTGATCATTTAATGTGTTAATGAGGCCAGAAAGCCAAAGTCATACCTGGACTAGAAAAGGATGAAGACCCCATGTAAATGGGTAAAATAATCAGGTCTACTTGTAATGCACTAACAAGCACTCCCTACCTGTACTGTTAGCATTTTAACACCTGTGAGCTATTTAAATCATTCTCACCCCTCCAGGGCCTCTTCTCGTTTCGCTGGTCTGCTGATAAACTTTAGGAGCCCCTGTGTCTGACGAGGAATAGGAGATCACTGTTGAAGAGGAAAACGTCTGACAGTTTGGTGTACCTGACATTCTTTCCTAGTAGAGAAAAAAAAAAACAGGAGCGTGAGATGGAGCACTGTTCAGATACATATGTCAGTCATGAGGGTAATTACTTTGTTTATTTGAGAATGTTTGACAGAACTCACCATGTTTTCCATCATTTCTCCCATCATGCCAAACATATCCATGAATCCACCACCCTGAAAAAAATTAATTAAAAAGGAGATCTTTTGAAATTCTCATTTGATGAAACATCGAGAACAACTTCATGTGAAATTTTATCTAAACCCTACAGGGAGCTTTATTAAATCCTTATCCTTGCCCTGTTGATCATAACCCTGAATATCTCTGAAGGTTCTCAGTCATCCAGTTCATGGTATTTCTAAGTTCTATATGAAGGCAAGTGGACTTGCCTGAAGTTTGTCTTCGTATTGCACTTAAAAAACCCTGAATATCTGTATACTGCTTTTCCCGAACAAGACTGTACTTTCTACAATCTTGTTCTGCAGAAAGTCTTTTAACGAAAGAGGTCAAAGACATAACTACTCACCATTCCCATCATGCCGAAGGGGGCCAGAGGACCAGCCTAGGAGAAAGCGTGCAATAATTGTAAAATCAAAAAAGTATAAAAGAAAAAAAAAAATAAACTACCGTGAACGATACAGAAAAACACAAGAGTAAAATCCATCAAAAGAGCAGCATGTTACCTGTCTACGTGGTGCACGATGCGGCTGCATCTGAGGGGCAAGCGCAAATGGGTCCATGCCAAATGGGCTAAACAGGCTCATTTGCTGCCTGTGAGCTGCAAATGGATCCCTAGAAGAAATCAGAAATATCTATGACATTTTGGGATTTTTTTTTCTGTGTGAATAGACTGTGAGTGTAGCTGTGTAAACTACACTCACATAGGTCAAGGAAAGCTGAAAATGATACAGGGAGAGAAGCTTGTCAAATTTATCAAGGACAGGATGTAACAGATCATCTGGACAAGGGGTCTCTCTACATCCTCTTGCCTGTGAGCCCAGTTTCAGACCCGGTAATTATTACATTGCAATGGCATTATTTAATTTTGAGTATGGGATACTCTTGATGTTGTTTTGTTTTCAGAAGCGTGGAAGGAATTTCAGAATGACTCACAATAGTGGCAATATATCCTTTCTGATCTAATTATTATTCATCTTTAAAGCTTTAATGCAAGTTTCTCAAAATTAAAACACAATATGTTGTACAACTCTTTTCTAACACACCATGCTTTATTTTCAGCTACGTTCCCTTCATCACGACAAATGCCAATAACTCCTAGATGGTGCATAAATGATTAGTCAATCCATTGATTAGTTAGCTGACACAAAATTAATCCACAATTAAGACACTTGATGAACGTATTTGAATCATTTTTCAAGCAAAAAACAAAATGTGTGGATCGGCTAGTTTTCTCAGATTTTTATCTTTTTGGGTTTTTTTTATTTCGGCCCTAGTCTCAAAAATCTCCTGTAACCCGGTCTGCATAT